ATGCTAATAAACCCATTATCAAGGAGGAAGAACATTCACTGATGTGGGAACAATTGCCATAATAAAAATCCTCCTTCACCTCTGTCCAGTTGATCAACGAAGTAACTTTCTTACGAAAATTTGCTCCTGAAACTTAATCGTGACGGAGTAGGAAAAGGGAAATAAGTTTGAAAAGGGCATTTTGGGGGATTTCAAAGTATTAAAACCGCGAATTAAGAATCTTTTTCTACGAGAACACTAACGTAAGGGGTCTTTGTCTAATTACCAAACTATAGAGGGTCTTTGTTGCAAAAAAAGTGTAGGGGTCCGTGTAATTTTCCCTTAAAAAATTTTGCCTAAGTTCCTAACTTATAATTTTCTTGACAAACTGATAATAATGGAATGACTGTAGCTTCTCATTGGCCATAACAGCAGTTAATATAATATGATGACACTTTGATGTTCATGTTGCAAATAAAAGTTTACACATTTGGCTTCCAATGATGGTGTGGATTCCTCGAGATATGCAATGGCGAAAGGATCTTCTAGAGTGGATCCCATTTGTAGGTTATGTAATGGTAAGGTTGAATTACTTTCTCATCTATTTTTTGGGTGTTTGATGGTATGACCTATTTGGTTTGGTTCTAGAGTGGATCCCATCGCCTTGATGATAATGTGAACCAAGACTTAATTTTTTTGGTTGGAGTGGTTGCAGATTGATGCTTCTCACAGACATCCTATTGGTTTATTGAGTTTTCACCATTGAGATCATCACTATTTGGCATATTTGAAATATGTGAAATAAGGTGATTCTTTGATAGGGTGGTTTTCTCTGTGTATTAGTATCTCTTATTCATGCCCACTTAAATTTTATTTTTTAACTATAACATCATGAGTTGATACACTTGGATCAAATGGTTGAATTACTTATTTACCACATGCATGGAAGAATGATTCATTTTTAATCGATTCTAAAAAACATGGGTTTTATATTGTTAAAAGCATTGGATATAGATATAATTAATGAAACTCATTGGTAAAAGATATCTATAATATAGAAATGAGAGAGAGAATAGGAGTTAATATCTTAAATATAAGATTAAATAAAAGGGGTTTAAATGAGGTGAAAAGTAGTTCAAATAACATTTTCAATCCTCAAACTTAGAGATAGACTAAATTCAAAAATAATGGTATTTTAGTCAAGAAAAATCCACACCTCACTCATACTTCTAGTAGTAGTAGTAGTAGTATTAGTAGTAGAGGTGAAAAATAGTAGTACGTAGCAGCAACAACTGCAGTAGTGGTAGTAGTAGTAGAGATGAAATATGATAAATCAAATTACATTTTCAACCCTCACAATTTGAGAGAGACTAAATTAAAAGTAAGGATGTTCTACTCAAGAAAAATTTCACACACTTATTTGTACTTTTAATAGTGCTATAGATATAGATATCAACATTTAAGTAGTTTATTAACAAAACACAACATTATAACTAAACACACTAAAATTATAACTAAACACAACATTATATGCTTGAATGTAAGAAAAGAAACCGACTATGAAACCGGAATAGGAATCAAATCTAGAACACTAATCGTAACTAATGAATGCCTATCAGTCAATTAGTATTTGGTATGCCCATTAGTTAAAGCTTCTAAAGTATCATGTAAAGTATCTAATGATGTCCATATGTGTGGTTTAGGGCCTTAGGTATATGCTGCCACGTGTCTTGAGATGTACTAGAGAGCTCTTAATAACTCGAACTAGCTTGATCGCCTACCCAACCTAGTGCTCATCTCCATGTAGGACTAAGACTCCTCGATAACATATCATCTCTCCTATACGACCTCCTTGAATAAATGGTACGCAATGCACAACACTCACAAGCTCCTTAGTCCGTTGCTTTCCTTGTCGACTAGTGTCCTCTTAGATGATCCCTTGCTCACTAACTTAAGCATCAAAGAGCTCACCTCGGGGACATATGAGACTCTCCCCTTTTGTAGGTCTACAAAAGCAACTCGATTTGATCCCTTAATTCGGTTCATCCTCTTTTCTCCTCTTTATTTGTTGTCCAGATTTTGACTACAATAGTATCATGTCCTTTTAGTGTCATAAAAATTGCTTTTATTTAAATGCCAAATTAAAATGAGAAAAATTAAAACATAATAAATTAAAATTAATCATTTTTACCAATAAAAATATTTCATTTAATAAATAATAAGCGGTCTAGGCAAGAGAGGTCAAAGGAGAAGTAACAATTTTTAATTCTCCTCCTTGAAAAAACAAAATGTAGATTACAGTTATGCCCAAAACATTTGATTCCTTTCCACCCCTTGTTTTTCTAGAACATCAACAAAAGCATTTGCATTTCTTTTAACCCTACAAACCTTCACCTCCATATCTTGAGTTAGCTACTTAAATTTTTTTTCTTTTTATTGTTGAATATCTAGAAACCATTCCCCTCCTTTTGTAGTCAATCCACAACCAACTTTGAATCACCTTCTATAATAGGCTTCTTCACATTCATATCCTTGCCTTTTGCATTCCCTCCATCACAGCCAAAACCTCAGCTCTTAATGAGTCACCTACACTAATTGGACTAGAAAATAGTCATATAACTTTGCTTTCCTTATTCTTGAACACCCCACCAATAACAAAAGGGCCTGGGTTCCCCACACTACTTCTATCAAAATTTAATTTAATAAAATCATTACTTTGTGGAGACCATAAAGACCTCATCGTCTCAAATTGAAATTAATTATTAATGATACTTAAAACAAATATAGTTGTAAAATAGAATTTGAAATGAGAGAGATTTAGAAGTATTGGTGCCTTTAGACTCTCACACTTGGTAATTAAAAAGCACACACACACACAGTAGTTGTAGTATACTTAGATTTGTTGTAACTTTTAAGGTGCTAACCTTAGCATGTTTTCCTTTGTTATAATAATCCTCCATTTGTAAGGTGCTAACCCTTTTATTAATTACTTGGTGGAATATCAATTTTAATTGGTTTCTATTTGCATGTTTTCCTTTGTTATAATATTCCTCCATTTTTATTTTCATTTTCTTTGATGTTCAAATCTGTCTCTCATCTCATGCACGAAGAATCGTCTCATATATCAATTAACAAGTTAGGTCTTTAAATCGCCTTACACGATTATTATCACAACTATATTAAGTTTGGTTGTTTTAATTACCATTGAAGCGGAAGAAAAGAAAAAGGAATGGAAATTCAGAAGTATTTCCATCCGAGAAAGACTATATACCTTACTATCAAAACTAGGGAGTTTCTTTGGAAGTAAATAAGCCTTAATTTCATCAATGCCCCTTTGCCATGCCAGTCAAAAATAGAAGATTCTAGACTGAATTCTAGACTGGATATATTGTTTGAAATTTCCAACTTTTTTCTTTGCAAGTTGGAAGAACCACCACTCATTTAGTGGATGCATTATAACACTGTAATGACTTGTTCAACTTTTGTTTACAACAATTGGTTCTTTGGTTCTTAATTTTGTTTTCTTAGTTGCTGACGTGGCAGTTGTTTTTGTTTTCAAAAAACAAAATCATCAACATGTTATAGAGCCCATCCTTAGTCTCTAAGTGTTGTGAAAGTTTTGGTCTCAGTCAGAAATAACAAGATTCTCCGAGTAGAATGGCTATAAAACATACCTATCCTAGTAGCTAGGGTTGATCCTCTGATTGAATGGTTCGGATGAAGAAACTAACCATGCCCATATGACTACACCTTTTTAATGAGTATGTCAAACCCTATTATAATTCATAATCTTAGGGGTGAAATGATGATTCAAGTGTATCTTTTCTTTTCTTATTGCTGTACATATAATATTAATGTTTTCCTTGACAAGTGGATGAATTCAGAATTTCTTTTTGTCTTACCCATAGTTTCAATCTTTGTTCTATTCAATTCATGTTCTGTCACAGTCGAATCCAATTACTGTAATTTGACGCAACGTTGCTCTCTTTCTCTCCAACCCATCTACAACGAAACAAAGAGAATTCAATTCATGTTTTGTCGACACAGTCGAATCCAATTACTGTAATTTGATGCAACGTCAAGCTCTCTCTCTCTCTCTCTCTCTCTAACCCACCTACAAGGAAAAAAAGAGAGTTTCTTGGGAAAAGTTTCAACTTTTGGAAGGTTTAAGTTCACAAGTTGTCATGTTAGGTTCATCATTAATGTATAAATGAACTTAGTGTGCAGGTACTACGCGCATTTCTAATTCCTTCTGTTCAGCAATCAGTGGATTGAACAAATACAGGGTACTTAATTAATTAGCAATTATTTGATTCTAAAATGATTAATCCGGTACTTCAGCAGAGGTTGAAGTTAATTCTCATATATAGAGAAGAGAATATACATTCATATGAACTCATTTTCCCTGTTGATTCAATTGCTAGATAACAAGGCATAACGACTGGCTGTGAATCTGGCAGAGTTCTCCTGGATGTGTTAATAATATCTCTTCTTCATCACAGCACTGCCCAATGCCTACACCATCGAATCCAGTAATTCCAAATAATCCTTCATGAGAGAGAACTCAAATGCATGGCTGCAGGCTTAGTAGTAGTGCAACTGCTGCTTCCAAACGGATCAGGGAATTAAACCTTTTTCAATTTCAGTGCAAAAATTAAAAACTCAGATTTCCAGAATAATCTCATGAATCATGAGTGGTGTTCAATTAATGGGTTCACAATTCATTGAAAGCGGATTCATTGCCAATTAAATGTGAAAAATTAGTTAAAAATTAATGTTTGTTTGGTCCAGAAATCTATGATCAAATTGCAAATAATGTTTAATCAATTGAATCAAGTAGTCATGCTTCTCAGTTAGATGTGGTTATATGAATACAAGATGTATAGTTTCATGCACCCATCAGCTCTCATCAGGGAGAAGAAAAAAAAACCAAGGATGAGAGAAGATATATAATAACCAGTGATATATATATATAGATATATATTTGAGATAAAACATTCATAATAATCACACAAACATACTTATATATATCCATTATTCATGGTTTCTTACTTCAGCATATATAGTTACAGAAAAGGAAACACAAAAGACCTACAGCAGAGACTACAGATATCATATAACATGACCAAAGGTCCAAAGCACACACATGCAACCTAATGCTTATTATATCTCTGTTAGGAGCCAACATGCATGAGTACGTAGCTAGCCATGTTCATGGCTGCTAATTAACATGCTAGCTCCAGTTCTCCACATTATCACGCCAAACTCTATAATTAATTTACAGCAGTAACTTCAGTTGTATAACAAGCTCATCTCAATGGGGAGGTCGCTTATAATCTGGATAAACATGGTGGGTGTTAGTAAATGATCCTGAAGGATGGCCATAGCTACCAAAGCTCTCGTTGTCATCATCATAACTCATTATGCCATTGCCCATCTTATTGGTTGCTTCATTGGAATCTAATGCTGCAGAACCAACCGCAGGATCTCTCTTATTCTTTCCTGTGAGATTGTTTATCTTCACATTCTTGGCACCAGTAGTTCTCCCCACCTCTACCTTGCGTCCCAGTTTTACTTCGTATTTTAGGCTATCCAGTGGAAGCTGATAACTGTTCTTCTTGTGCTCCGCCACAGCAAGCAGCTTTGATGAAGTGACCTCTTCTTGTGCTTCAGTAGTCCTTGCATCAACTCGTTGAGTTGCCAAGCATATCCACCCCACAGTAATGAAAAGTATCAGTAAGGCCTTCATGATTTAGCTGTAAATTGTATCAAGAAATTAATTAGAAATGCTTCAGTTCTCACTACATAACATACAGCTACTACTGCAACCATATATAACCTGAGTGATGAAGTAAACAAGTTTTATGTTATGGACTTACCTGAATTTCGATTTTCTAATTCTTTGATTGTTTCAGATGATCAGCCAGACAAAATGAAATTTGAAGAGTGGCCATGAGGACCATTTATAGAGGTTTCTTGTTCTGCTAATTAAGCTGGGTTAGCAGCAGCAAACTGTAGGAACAGAGACTACACGGAGTGGGGAACCACTTTTTCATTTAGCCCTATGTCCTGGGGATATAGCCACTGAGAAATTATTGGTTAGGGTTAATTATGAAAATTGTCAAAGCTGGTAGTGCTGGTTTTCTTTCTTCGGTAAAAACTTGATTATGCTTCCATTTGGTGTTCACAAGTGATCAGTGCTCTTGGACAAAGCTAAAAATTCAATCAGATATGATTAAAGGGTACAATTTTCACTAGTGGAATGGTGTCATGTTATGAAGTAATTAAATTGTGTTACTTGTGTATCCGTGAGGTCACAAAAGCTCCCTCTCACGTCACGGGTGCATCTTGGGTTGGATTTGGGCCAACCTGAGTCCAATCCAAATTAACCTGTAATAATAGGGCTGAATTGGATTTGGTTGATTATTGGGTTACGGGCCGGTTTAGGGTTTTTAGCCCAGCGATATTGACCTGACCAAGGATGAGAAGGTTAGGTTTTCTGGCCATGATTATGTGGGTTGATAAGTCAAACAAATTGTTAGGAAAAGGGTTGGATAGGATAAAGAGGGCCAAGTCGATCCATCTGTGAAACAGATGGATTTAAATGGGTTGTCTTGTGTTGGATAAACAGATGGCCAAGTCGATCCATCTGCACAAGAGGCGGGGATAGCACGGTCCTAGAAATCAGCAGCACAAATAAAAATAAGAGATGAAGCAATACAAACTAGGCTAACTTGACTACCATGATAGCATTGCGCGTCAACCACCGTAACTTGATTTACCTAAATGTGTGTTGATAGCGAACTCCCACCATCCAAATGAGAGCTGATGCATTTAAAGTCATCAACGATGCTCGAAACTCTCCAAGGCGTAGCCATGGATCTCTTCAAACCTTTGAATCTCCTTCGATGCCTCTCTAAAATTGAGGGCCATATTGTACGCTTCCCATGGGCCAATTTAAAATTCTAATAGGATGTTTGGTAAGTCTTTCGACATGCTCTTTACCAATATTTGGTAAAGTGACCAAATATAAGAAGCTTCAAACCCGTCTTTCTATACATAAAATCTTTCATTTAATAGTTTGATAGGTCATGGTCGACCGTGATATTTACCCAATGATCTTGGTCATGAAAGACAAGCTCCAAAAAGCTTGGTATGCCATTTTGCCAGGCTATTGAAAGATTTACTTAAAAGGATATGCCAAACAGCCCCTAAATATCCCCAAATACCATAGCAGGTAGCCAAGTACTTTCCACATAGCTTCACTAAGGCTGCATTTGGCATTCTTTATTTTAAGGACTTATCTCATTTTTGCTGTTAAAAATTCAGTGTTCAGAGGCATTTTAACTGTAAAAAAGAGATAAATCCTCAAAATAATGAATGCCAAATGCAGCCTAAACATTATTTGCTGATGAATCTTTCCCATAAGCAGTAAATATGTATATGGTTGTCAATTGAACCAGATTTGATCCAATCTATATGTGTCTATTTACAAATGGATCGGACCCAATCCAATCCATATCTAAGTACAAACCAAATCCAATTTAATCCAAACTGAATAAAACATTAGAAATTAATAAAAAGCATAAGAAATATAAAAAAATATAGAAATACAGTAGAAACTTCACAAAAAATAAAATAAAATAAAGAAAAACTCTGATATAATTAACTGTTCATCAACATGACTCTCTCTTTATATCCAACATACAGACCCTAATTAACATCAAAAAGAAAAATTAAAAATAAACTAAACTAAATTTAGATCAAAGTAAAAATTGACATCTTAAGACCAGGATGCTGTAGTTGCATCAAGTTTTAAGAATAAATGTATAACAATGACAAAATAATATAAGTTGCAACTCCTCAACATGATTCTCTCTATTCTTGTTGCTGAACTTGAGTATCATTGCTGAAATTGCAAAATGTTTGGCATCAGTTGTTGTCTGAATACCTGCAAGTTACCCTAACTCATTGAGAATCAAAACTTTGGCTTCATTGCACTTCATCCCTTCATATGGTACGACCGATAGATTCTCTGTCATTGTAAACTTAAAATTCAGCTTCCAAACTATCTCTGACCATACCAAAAGACCACTTCTATTATTATTATATATCATACATATAAAAACCATAAGAACTTGATATCTCACATGATGAGTTACTGTGCCTAGCCTATAGCCAGGGGTGTCAATTGGACTGAATTTGGTCTAATCTAATCCAGTCCAATCTAAGTTCATTATAAATGGATCAGGTCCAATCCAATCCAATGAATGTTTTGGACCAATTTGGATTAGTCCAATTTAATAATTGGATCGGACCATCCAATTTGTTCAAATTCATTTTGATTTAGATTGGTTTCAAACCAAACCTGGTCCATTGACACATATATTCTTATCTTATATCAATGGATTATGTATTGGCTTAATCAAATCCAATTCAATATAAATTTGTTACAGACGGACCAGATCCAGTCCAATCTAATAAATATTTTGGACCGAATTGGTCCAATCCAATATGTCTTGATGGTCCGTTCAATTTGTCCAAATTGATTTTGGACTGGTTTATTAACACCCTTACCTAGGATTAATTAGAAGCATAGGCTAATTAATCTAAAGCAATCAACTATGAATTAGGCTAACTAATCAGAAAAAAAAAAAAAAACTTCTCTTGTGTTCAGACATGTACAAGTTGGGACAACTGCATATGCTAATTTTTTTTGACAAATCGAGAAAAGAAACAAGAGGGCTACACACAACAGGAGTAGAATGTCCCAAGAATATATATATATATATATAAGACTTAAAGCTCTAGGGAAGAAACAGCACTTGAATGAACAAAGTTGGCGAGCCAATCCGCAACCATGTTGCATGCCTTCACGATATACATGATAGTACTCCACTTGACCTTCCAAACTTTCGACCAGCAACCTGCAATTTCAATGATGGATTTCAATCTCCAAGGGGGCTGCACACTATTCCTTAGATCGTCAATAACCAATTTTGAGTCTCCCTCTATAATAATATCCTTGTTGGTGGAGTTAATGGCAACATTATGAGCCTCTAACGCAGCCCATGCTTTAGCAAGATTAATAGATGAGGTTCCTACTTTATATGCTTTGCAATCCAGGATTTGACCTTTGAAATCCCTAGCTAAGCAAGCAATTGTGCACTGACCATTGATGCATGAGTAGGAATGGCAATGGGGCGGGGATCATATTCCTCGTTCCCGACCCCGATTATGAAATTAATCTCCATCCTCGTCCCCCAATTCCTGCCGGGATAAAATTTGTCCTCCATCTCTGATCCTCGGCCGATGGGGATGAGTTCCCCAAGGGGACCTGAATCCCCAAATTTTTTTAAATAACAGCATTTTTTTTTGAAAAATAAATAAATAATTTAAATTATAAATATTTTTTAAATATATTTTGATATATATATAATAAATAATATAATAATATATATTTATCGGGATCGGGGAGGGGCAGGGACCTCAATCCCCATCCCCGACCCCGACCCTAATCGGGGATTCCTATTAATCCCCGTCCCTGTCCCTGCCTCGCCAAAACAATCCCCATCCCCGATGGGTCGAGGAAATCGGGTCCCTGTCAGAGATGGAAAAAATTGCCATTCCTATGCATAAGCGAAATTCATGTTAATTATCCATATAAATGGAACATACTGCTTAACCTTTTCTTCGTTCCGATCTAACTCTGTGTTTGATATGAATTCCATAAAAGCATTTTTTCTCTTTCAATGATTATAGCTAGAGAGGTTTTCTTATTACTAAAAACATTATCATTGTGGTAACCATAACAAGAAAGCAATTTTTCTTTAGCAAACGAACCATTTGAGTGGCTAACCAAACTCTTTCACCAATTCAATATTGTGTTACTATTCTCTTGATTCAACGTATTGAAATCACTCATCGTGACCCACACTTACTTAGTCAAGGTACAATTCGCAAAAATGTGATTGGTATCCTCTTCTTCTTCACCACAAACAATGCACACTCCATCAATATCAAAGCCCCTATGAATATGCCTTCTTTTAGTAGGGAGCTTATCATTCAAAAGCAAATACATGGAGGTTTTAATTTTCAAGGGTGTTTTCAGAGCCCACACTTTATTAATCTCAGTCACAATTCTATTGTTGTAATTCTCATTCATCTTACAAGCCTCATTATAGGCTGGTTTAATCGAAAAACTACCTTTCGGGTTGGGTCTCCAAACCAGTTTGTCTTCACAATTACTTCAGGAAATAAACAACATTTTAATTTTCACCTATGCTGTTGTGGGAACAAGATTTTAATGATGTTTTCTTTCGAAACCCTCTTGTCCAGGTCAATTGCTTCCCCAACTTTTAAGGTCCGGATTACTAATTTGACTAGGATCAACTGCTTTGATCAGAGGCTCCTCATCGGCCCATTTGTCAATCCAAAAGTTTATGGAGTTGTTGTTCCCAATGATCCAGCCTAAGCCTCTCTTATGAAGATCCCTAACAAAGAGGATGTCTCTCCAAGCCCAAGACTAATTTTTCTTCAAATCTACCTTCCATAGGTTCTCTCTACCCAAATATTTCTTGCTTACCACTTGAATCCACAGATTTTCTTTCTCATTCAAAATTTTTCATCCCAGTTTTGCCAAACAGGCCTCATTCATCCAAAATAAATTCTGAAGACCAAGGCCACCCCTATGCTTGGTGGAACAAACCCGGTTTCAATTGATTAAATGAAGAGATATCTTTTCTTTGTTATTGGACCACAAGAAGTCTCTTGTTTTCTTTCCAAATCTTGGATGACCCCATTGAAATTATGAAGGATCTCATGATATATTGAGGAATCATGTCAGATGAGGATTTTATGAGGGTAAGTCTATTAGCGAGAGAAAGAGAATTCCTTTTCCACCCAACCAGTTTCCTA